TTACCATAGAGTTATCATAGATTTATCAGTATTCATAGTTACCATAGAGTTATCATAGATTTATCAGTATTCACAGTTACCATAGAGTTATCATAGATTTATCAGTATTCACAGTTACCATAGAGTTATCATAGATTTATCAGTATTCATAGTTACCATAGAGTTATCATAGATTTATCAGTATTCACAGTTACCATAGAGTTATCATAGATTTATCAGTATTCACAGTTACCATAGAGTTATCATAGATTTATCAGTATTCACAGTTACCATAGAGTTATCATAGATTTATCAGTATTCACAGTTACCATAGAGTTATCATAGATTTATCAGTATTCATAGATTTTTTGGTTATCGAATGTTTTCCCAGTAAGATGTGAATTGTGTGTTTGAGTTCATAAGGTATACAGCTTTCTTGGCGCATCGCGTGACGTCTGCAGGAGGAGGGAAATACGTGGTTAATTATTGAGCTTTAAAATTTCCTTCATTGCGTCAAAATTTGTGCACTACGACGGCTTTCTTGATAGTTTGGGTCGTATTGAGACAAACTTTGATAGCATTTGCGCCCCGGGCATCAGCCACACTCCAGCCCCAACCACACCACACCAACCCCCCGTACCAGCCACACTCAGGCACCCGCCCAGCCCCAGCCACACCCCCAACCACACCCCCCAGCTGCAGCAGGAGTGCAGCAAGCCTCCGGCTCACCTTGGCCAGCAGGATCGATGGGTTCTGCTATTGCTATTCCCAGTGAGTAACTGTTGGGAGCAAGGTATATAGCGCCTCCCGGCCACCTCCGTCCTGATTCCTCGACGCCTCGGCCTACAGAGCCGCCCTGTCACTCCTTTGGTACCTCATTAATCCTCTTCTCATACCCACTTACTCATGTTCCACTGGTGTCATTGTTCGTGCTCTTTTGCTACCCCTTACTAATGCTCCTCGTGTTCCCTTTACTCATGCTCTTCTTTGGTACGAACTTTGATACGAACAAGAGCTTTCATACGAACAAGAGCTTTCATACGAGCTTTCATACGAACAAACGCTTTGATGCGAACAAGAACTTTCATACGAACAAACGTTTTGATGCGAACAAGAACTTTCATACAAACAAGAGCTTTGATACGAACATCAAAATCTTAAACAAAACAGCTGCACTTGGCCAGTGAAGCCTTGACTTGGGTTTGTCTATGATTAGTGTTTTCTTACGCATATTCTTTCGAAAGAGTTTCAATGGAAGCCATTCAGAGTTCCTCAAGTGAAGCCACAAATACGGTCGCTTCTTCATCTAAATATTAGTGTCCTTGTTGTCCTGTGTTACTCCACCTTCCAAGGCCGCGACCACCTCGACCACCGCGACCACCGCGACCACCGCGACCACCTCGACCACCGCGACCACCGCGACCACCTCGACCACCGCGACCACCGCGACCACCGCGACCACCTCGACCACCGCGACCACCGCGACCACCGCGACCACCTCGACCACCGCGACCACCGCGACCACCGCGACCATCTCGAACATCGCGACCACCGCGTCAGACATTCATCTCGAGCGTTATGGGATGGAATCTTGGGCTGGCGTGTAGGACGAGAGGGCCATGAAATATTGTTCAGGTGTCGTAAAATCCGCGTGTTATTGGGTTGATTTTTTTGTTTCGAGCGAGGCCGTGAACGATGGTTTCTGGAGCGTTGTTGCTTGGTCACGCTCTCTTCTCTCTCTCTCTCTCTCTCTCTCTCTCTCTCTCTCTCTCTCTCTCTCTCTCTCTCTCTCTCTCTCTCTCTCTCTCTCTCTCTCTCTCTCTCTCTCTCTCTCTCTCTCTCTCTCTCTCTCTCTCTCTCTCTCTCTCTCTCTCTCTCTCTCTCTCTCTCTCTCTCTCTCTCTCTCTCTCTCTCTCTCTCTCTCTCTCTCTCTCTCTCTCTCTCTCTCTCTCTCTCTCTCTCTCTCTCTTGTACCCTAACGGCGCTTCAAACGAGGCGACAAGAGGATGAGTGTGAGAAAGAGAGTTATGATGAGTATGAGAGATGGAGTGTCAAGGAAAGTGACGGTTCTGTTGACCTTTTACTCAGTGGTATCATGTATACGAGGGACATCAGTGGGAGAAGAACCGCTGGGCTGCCACTGAGAGAGAGGTCAACACTACAGAAAATGACCTCCCACCTGTAATATTGTACTATATGAGCAGATTGTAACGGCTCGCATAGCGGAGTACGGGAGGTGTGCAAGACACTGTCCACATAAACAATACTCTTACCAATAATCACCGGAAGATGCAGCTTACCATATACTGTACAAGAGGCCGCCTACTTCATCCTTAAAATAACTCGCGACCCAAAACGGAACACTTTAAAAGAGACAGACAGTGTGAGACCCCACTATCTATATTGTAGGAAAGAATGGGTGTCTTACTGATCAGAGTTGGTGGGGACTTACTCGGGGCGAGCCTTCCCCAGGTTCGTATCCTGGCCGGGGAGGATTTACTGGGCGCAATTCCTTAACTGTAGCCTCTGTTTAACGCAACAGTAAAATGTGTACTTGGATGAAAAAACGATTCTTCGCGGCAGGGGATCGTATTCCAGGGACCATAGGATTAAGGACTTGCCCGAAACGCTACGCGTACTAGTGGCTGTACAAGAATGTAACAACTCTTGTATATATCTCAAAAAAAAAAAAAAAAAAAAAAAAAAAAAAAAAAAAAAAAAAAAAAAAAAAAAAAAAAAAAAAAAAAAAAAAAAAAAAAAAAAAAATGTGTAGGTGAGAAGGTCTGGGTTACTAACTAACGCCGCCAGATATAGTTATGTGTACGTGTGTGTGTGTGTGTGTGCGTGCGTGCGCGTGTGTGTGTGTGTGTGTGTGTGTGTGTGTGTGTGTGTGTGTGTGTGTGTGTGTGTGTGTGTGTGTGTGTGTGTGTGTGTAATGTAACCACTTATAATTTTATACATTCTTATTTTAATAAATCTTTTATTTTTTCTTTCAACGAAATTTATACTTTAAGCTCAATTACTATTAAGTTGGTGGTGGTGGTGGAAAGGGTTACAGAGGCACATAATGGGCTCAGGGACTGAACCCCACAATTCATTTAGCTAAGCAAGTTACAATCTTGATGAGCTAGTTACAAAATTCAATATAAGTATATATATATATATATATAAACTTTTTTTGACACATTCTAAATATATCAAAAAAAGTTTCAAAAACTGAGGGCATTCTTTCTAAGATCAGATATTATGTACCACGCCCTGCCCTGGTGACTCTCTATTACTCCCTTATCTATCCATATCTCAACTATGGTATTTGTGCTTGGGGCTCTACTACCCAAAATCACTTACGTCCTCTAATTACTCAACACAAAGCTGCTATTAGGACAATATCCAACTCTGGCCCCAAACATCACTCGGTACCCCTACTCAAATCTCTGAATATGTTAGACATTAAGTCACTGCACATTCTCTCATGTGTATTATACATATATAAAACACTAAACTATAATGCCAATCCTGATCTCAAAAGCTTCATAGAAGGTTGTAACAGAACCCATGAGCACTACACCAGAAATAAATACAGTTTTGATATTCCTAGAGTACGACTTAATCAAACTAGAAATGCTCTACAAATCAAGGGGCCCAGAATGTGGAATGACCTTCCCAACCATGTTAAAGACTGTACCTCTCTCAACCAGTTTAAGATAAAAACTAAACACTACCTAATAAATTCCCTGTAACCTACCTTACCCCTCTATTGTCAACCCCATGTCTGTTATTTTTTTAATTAACACTGTCAACCTATTGTATTTGTGCTGCTTTTCAGTCATGTACCCCCTTTTTTTTATCTTTATTTGTATTTGTTCTCAACACATTTTATTCTTTATGCTCAATTAGTATTAAGCTCTAGATATTAATGTTCTTCCTGCCCGAAACGCATTGCGTAATAGTGGCTTTAGGCATTGTATGTACTAGCTCTATCTATATATTGATCCATTAATGTAACATCACTTGTATGTATGTACCTTACCTGAATAAACATATTTATTTATTTATTTAAGTCGTCACATCAACAATGGGTTTGAGATCGACCTCAAGTACAGGTTCTAAATTAAGCAACTGACATATATGGAGAGCTAGTGTCACAATTTACATGTTTGTCCTGCACACCGCCCCCCATCCAGTGGGCAGCGGTGGATAGATTACAGTCACTTAGTTACTACCTACAGTTTGCAAACTGGGGATATTTGGCTAAAATTTCTGGTAGCAGATCTTTTTGAATGAAATATTTACACATCGCTGGAACATTGGTTATAGAATTGTCTCTAAATTCACGTATCTTTTCGCACTCCATCACATAGTGACGGAGGGTGTGTGAATAATTTTGTTGACACAGTTTACATTTGGTCAGGTCTACATCAGCAGATAATGAGAATGCCCAAAGATACTTGTAACCGAGTCTAAGCCGAGCAGTAGTAACATCTAGAAGTCTGCTGATTTTATTGGATGATCCATATATGTGTGGCTCCTCTTGCATGATAGTATGATGATAGATGGAATTACTGGTGTCAATTTCACTTTGCCTCAGATCTACAAGATCTTGTTGAAGTTCTCGGTGTACTGCTGCTCTCAGATTGCTCATTGACAATCCAAGGTTACACTCAACGGCTCCTTTAAAGGCAGAGTCTTTGGCTAACTTATCAGCTCTATCATACATTCGGAGGCCAACATGAGATGGAGACCGATAAAGTTTGAACATTCTAAACAAGTTACTACTAAAATAGATAACAGAATAAATCGTTTTCTTTGATAAACGAAACAGCTTTACCATAAAGAAACACACTATTAATCTTTAAGATATTTGTTACCTATATTTGCATTCTGAATTTTAAAAAATACATTATATAATAAGATCTAATTTAAACCTCCAGATACTAAACAGTATTGTGTATTAAATAGTTTAACAGGAAATGCCAAGAGAATTACTGAAGGAGGAGGTGTGGTAACGAGGATGGGAGCGGCGCTGAGGCCTGTATGTAAACAAGAGAAGTCAAGATGTCTGGGGAGTATTTATTTTTGAGAACAAGACACATCAAATTTTTGCAGCGGTGTCTGCGAGTGCTGCCGTACAGTGCCGTCACCTTTGACACCAGTCGGTAGGTGTCAGTACTGTGTGGGGAGCGTTTAGCTTCTGTACACACTCTTCCTCCTTATGGAAGGAGGTGGTTTCCTGTTGGCTATAGTCTCGAAGTTCATGTACTTGAAGCTATTCAAAATTCAAATTCAATATTTTTATTCAGGAAAAGTACATATATAGATGATTTATAAACATAATGTTGGATTTATAGATTGGAGTTATAAGATACAGGTTTTGCGATCTTTCTAAACTTTTATTTCTTGGCCATTACAACATCAGAGTGTAATAATTTTTTCATTTTAGGGTTCCTTGCATTTGTAATATCAGGTTTGCTGTGATCTTTTAAACTGTAGGTTTCCTAACTTTTGTAGCCTTAGATTTCATAGCACTGAATAACTTTCTGGTTTCATTGTTCTGCTTTCACTGAAAATAATGATTCATTCATTATTTTCATTCCTGACCTTTGTAAAGTGCCAAATGGCTTCCCCCCCCTTCCTACATTGAAACGAAAACTCATGTTCATTATACAAAAAAATAAGTTTCTTCACATTTGCAACCATAAATGATTGTGAAAACGTATCCAATATATCATTAGGTTAGGATGTATTAACTTAGGATAAGGTTAGTTTGGGTTAGGTGGGTTTTAAAATCTGTTGGCAAACTGTCTTGTGTACAGTGTGGCTTGTGTCCTGTTGATACAGGTCACTTCAAACCTACGAAGATTTGGTTTTTATAACCTAATATAACTCAACCCAACCAAATTCAATCCAACCTGAGATAACATCAACTGACAGTATTAATGATTAGAAAATGGGTTTTGTCGAAACATCTCTGTACGAGTTGACCATACCCATTTGTTACTAGTAATAAATTATACAAAAAAAATTCACTGACGTATATACAGTATAGGTATTAAAAATGTGTAACACCACTCAACTTGTTAAGTTTAACAATATTAACAAGTTTAGTTATTCTCAGCAATATGCTAGTACCATATTCTGAATGAGGGATTACAGAGTAAAGTATAGATCAAAAGCTGGCTATGAGTTTATCTAATATTCCCAGCTTACTAGATGGTTAGTCATATATGGAATGAGGACATGAGATGTGAGTGTAATCTACTAGCCTGCACTAGCAAACTTGAGCATACCACAATAATATCGTCCCAGGTAAACAAGCACCCTAACTCCAGCAGTCATCCACAGCAGCACGACACCACTTCAACCCAGCCATGTCTCTTCTCGTATCCTGTGCATTGTTCACACTCCCTTCATACTTCCTTGACCAACCACTTGGGCTGGACGATAGAGCGACTGTCGCGCTTCATGCAGGTTGGTGTTCAATTCCTCGACTCTCCAAGTGGTTGGGCACCATTCCTTCCCCCTCATCTCATTCCCAAATCTTTATCCTGACCCCTTCCAAGTGCTATATAGTCATAATGGCTTGGCACCTTCCTGATAGTTCCCTTACCTTGAGGTTACCTTGAGGTGCTTCCGGGGCTTAGCGTCCCCGCGGCCCGGTCGTCGACCAGGCCTCCTGGTTGCCGGACTGATCAACCAAGCTGTTGGACGCGGCTGCTCGCAGCCTGACGTATGAGTCACAGTCTGGTTGATCAGGTATCCTTTGGAGGTGCTTATCCAGTTCTCTCTTGAACACTGTGAGGGGTCGGCCAGTTATGCCCCTTATGTGTAGTTATGCCCCTTCCTTTCATACTTCCTTATACACTCAACAATGTCCCCCCATCTTTCCCACCTTCCTTTCCTCCTACCCTCAACTTCATGTTTAATCCTAGCAAATGTGCTATAGTTGATTTTAAAGATTTTATAGTTGATTTTAATTTTTTTACCTTGGTAGGATGACGGTGTTGTTCTTTGCGCTCTCTGGATTGGACCTTCTAGATGGCTTAAAGGAAGTAACTGATAAAGAGAGAGAGCATATCATTGACTGGATATACTCTTTGCAAATACTACCAGCGGATGACAAAGGTAAGGAGGGGTTCATATTATGTTAAATTAATTAATTTGGGTCGTTCTTGACACATTCTTGGAGACAAATAGGTTGTAAATGCAAATTATAATCTTACTGTGAACTATAGTGCTGTATACCTATACACCAAACAATACTAGATTAACAGAAAAAATATTTGTGCTGTATTACAGTATTATACAGGTAATCACTTTGTCAAATCATTTTGCCAATTTGTATATTGTACAATATGCTACCAATATGTACATGAGGGCCCTGTCAGAATTTTTGTTTAAGTAACATCCTTTTTTAATAATAATAATAATAATTATTATTATTATAATTCTGTTTTAAATAATATCACAGTGTATATTTTAGCTAAATGTGTAACAAAACCATTTGGAGCATTTACCTCACATTTGATTTGGTTCTCTTTTTATATACAGTACCTGTACACAAGCTTTGCTCTTATTAATATGATAGCAAAAATAAAATTGCAAATTTAATGTTAGACTTAATATTGTTAATTATTTTCCCCAACACTACTTCTTTCTAGTTATAGAAGCTGATGTGGAGATGCAAAATTCATTCATTACTCGGGAAAAGAATTTAATTTGAAAATATTGGCAATACGGTACAGTACTTGCATGGGATGGATCCGAGATGAGGTTTTGTTTAGGATACATTTGATATATAACCTAAGCCTGGATTGATAAACAAAATTTTATAGCATTGTTTTATTAAAAAATCCTTAAAATACAGCTTAAAAATAGAGAATAACAGATCAAGTAAAATATGATTGATGCTGTACTTGTAAGACCAATGTATAATAAACAGTTATTTCTAGCAAGAAAGTGATTGATGCAGCCAAGCACCATTTCCATCATTAGAAACACCACTGACACTCCACATCATAACTTGCTACAGTTTTAGTCTACATGTTATGGTTCAGAAGGATTTAAATTTGACCCCATTATCCATGAAGTCTGTACAATTTTGCAGTGGAGGACACTTATACTAAATAGAACTACAATACAGTATAATTTATTTCCTTTGTATACATAGGTTCATTCCTGTTTAAATGCTCAATTGAAGGTAATTTTAACACAAAATTCTTTTAAAAAATATTTGCAAATAAGTACCCATAAGTCTTTTATTAATTTTTTTTCAGTTATACAGAGATCTGAAGATAGGAATTGGTTCAGATAATTGACTTTGCATTATACTTAAGTTTCCATTTGTGTCCCTTCTCTCCTGTTTTTATTTTAATATAAAATAATGTATATTATGTTTATACTGTATATAATTTGTATGTAATAATCTGCAGAGTAAATAACAAGTTACTGTATTGAGAAATATAGCATCTTCTATGATCTGAAACAGGTCCAGTCCCATATGTTACATTCTATCACAATTAAATTCAAAAAATTAAAAAAATTAAAAAAATGTGTTTGTCTATGCTTGCGGGTGTATTGCTTTATTATGGCAATATCAAATACTCTTTTCATCTAACAGATCAGTTGGCAAATGCTGGGTTTCGAGGAGGTTCATCTCTTGCCAGTTGTAGAAGCCACACAGACTGTGCCTCCGGCATCTCTTCCTTTGATTGTGGCCACATTACCATGACCTACACTGCCCTTGCCTCGTTAGTTATTTTAGGGGATAACTTAAGTCGTGTAAATAGAAAAGCAGTCTTGGCGCATGTTGCAGCTCTACAATGTCCAGATGGAAGGTAAGTCATATTGTATCTAAATTCTGATTAATGGTAGCTCATTTGATCCGGTATGCCTTTAATTTCTTAGTTTCAGATCCTGTAACTATACAGCATCTCTTTAAATATTCTTCTTATCTCATTTTTACTCACAATTGGGCACATTTAATATACCTTACGACAATCGGCTCTACCAATTCCACCTCAAATTCCTTGGGCGTTTATATCTCGCTTCATTTTAGAAAAGAATATTTCTGGGGTGGTCCCCCTTAGACCCAGAGTTTATTAATTGGTACTCCAGGGGCTAATATTGACATGCCATGTATCTTGGATTACTGGGAATATGGATCAGAATCTTTCACCTTCAAAGAGGTAGTAGAACATTTCAGAATCAGTGATCAAACCATAATTGAGGAAAATGCTCTAAAAGTTGACAGGGGAAGACAAAGCAAAAAATGCTCATAGGAAAATGTTTGGTAAAAATCTAATATCAGTCAAATACCACCTCATCTTTCCTCCTCTTTGCCACCCAAGGGAATCACTCCTTATCTTTCTCCTGATATATCGTTCATTCCTTCCTTGTAATTCAAGGTAAGGTGAACCCCCCAACTCTTGAGCCTATGCAAAACCAACAAAACCCTAAGTAGCTCTTCAGAGTTTCATCCCCTCAGTGAAACATGAGATACCAACCAAATCTCACAAGACACACGGTAAAGGGAAAATTAAACATGTATTAATGAATACAAAATGATAGATAGGGACTTATCCATACATGTTGCAGCGTAGACACCAGGGGGCCAGATGCACGAAGCAGTTATGCAAGCACTTACGAACCTGTACATCTTTTCTCACTCTTTGGCGACTTTGTTTACAATTATTAAACAGTTAATGAGCTCCGAAGCATCAAGAGGCTGTTTATAACAATAACAACAGTTGATTGGGAAATCTTCATGCTTGTAAACTGTTTAATAAATGTAACCAAAGTCGTCAAAGACTGAGGGAAAAAATCCAAAAAAGTATAAACGCATCAGTAACCTAAGCAAGCAATCCCCAGAACCAAAATAGGTCTAGGCACCTATGTCTTTTTTCCCTGTTAAGCTCTAAAAGTAGTCAATGCATAGACTTTGTGTGTTTGGTCAAGTTTAGTGACCAATAATGCTTTCTGGATAGGACGAGGGTAGGAATAGGAGGCATCTGAAAAGTTCTCATATCTTTTAAATTTTCTTGTTTTCAGTTTTTTCTCTACTAATGGAGGCAGTGAAAATGACATGCGGTTTATGTATTGTGCTGCAACCATCTGTTATATTCTTCAAGATTTTTCGACTATAAATATCAACAATGCTGTCCGGTACATTGTGAACAGTATGGTAAGTTAAAAATTAATAAGTTGAGGCTATATTAATGCATAACATGTGCAGCTTTTCAGGCAAGACTGTATGTAATAAATACTGTATATAAACAGGAGCATACAGCATTGGAATGATAGTATGCAGTACAGTCAGCACTTGAATATTGAGTTCAAATAACATTAAATCCATTTCCCATGAGCTATTCTTTGATTTCCAATGGTTTGACGTACCACACAAGTTGGTGTTCTTTTACGTGATAGATTTTTTAAATTATGGAACTATACATAATTTATGTAATAAATATACATTAAATTATTTAAATTATATAACTACATCATTTCATTCACCTGGGCTATAGGAGACTCAAACCACGGACCCCACGCAGACGAGACTGAAGCTCTATCCACTCAGCTGTGAGTAGTCTTAATAAGGAAAGATTCCAGAGGCAAATTCCACTGAGCTTCAGTAGTAGTCGGGGGAAAGTTGAAAATTCCAGCATAGCAGCAGTAGTTGCTTCTGGAATCTTTCCTGAATAAGACTAATCATAGCTGAGAGGATAGAGCTTCTGCCTCACCTGCATGGGGTCCGTGGTTTGAGTCTCCTAGAGTCCAGGTGAATGAAATGTTTATTTCCTCAGAAGTGTGGATGGCAATTTACTATAGAGCATGTTGTCAGCATGTACAGTATATTTTATATTTTGCCTTTACCGTGGTAAGATCAAGACACCAAATGAACCAGGCTCATCAACATTCACACACCCAAAATTGTTTTGTAAACTCAAATTATTCTGTGAAATATCTTAGAAACTCGTTCAAATACATAATTAATGAGATGTGGTTTTTCAGAAAAACATTTCTAGCACTTCCACTGACCTGAACTTTGACCTCCAATGAACCATAAAACAAACACAAGATAATTTAACAAATTTAGAAAACTGTGATCTGCAGAGAATTACTTTGCCTAATGATCCAGATTTCTCTGGAGCCTTGCTTTAGAATCCAGATTTATTTTTAATAATTTTAAATTTGGAGCAGAGATCCAGTGGCCAAATTTGGTTCGTTGTTTAGGGTTACTCATTATATATATTATAGGGTTAGGGTATATTAGTCTGCTCATAATATCGATACTGTATATTAACTTCATGAATTATATTAGGCCTGGTTTCACCCATGTCAGGCAGTATGAACAAATAATTTGCATATTTCTGTTATTTTTTGCGTTTCATGTCTAGTAGCACATCTTTGTGCATTTTCTAATTTATTGATATGTACTGTACGTGTAAGAAGTACCTCTGCATAAGTAATTTATTATTTATATTATGATTTATATTTTTTTTTGTTTTTGTTTTTACATTTATTATCAGAGCTATGAAGGTGCCATGGGTCAGGGAATCTTCTTGGAATCTCATGGAGGAAGTTCTTACTGTGCAGTCGCAACCTTACATTTGATGGGCAAGCTCGACTCGGCTTTATCCAGTATTCAGGTTTGTTTCTTTAGCTCTCGAGTTCATTATGTGCTATATTTTTGGCTGAAAAGTAGAGAGCATTAACCCTTAACCTTTCAACTTCATGTCACAATCAGGTATGTAAAGTATTAAGGTACCACATAGATTTATAACTCCCTCAGGTAAACTAGACTCGTATCTGCTTCCACAGGCTTCAAATAAAGAGTTGCCATCTTGGAGATAAATATGTGGCCCTCACACCCTGCTTGGGTGTGAGGGCCTCAATATTAAGAGAGCACCCATGAGTAGCACATGCAGCATCACTTAATAATGATGAAATATATAAGTACTGTACCTGCAATTACAATATTTATTAATGATGCTGACAAAGAATACCCTATCAATGATAATAACTGTACAAGGTTCAGATAGCAGTTTACCCAATGCTGGTAATGATGATCACAGATCAAGGCAGACATCCACAGCACACAGCCGTTCGTGGTTTGATGTGTCAACATATCATGAAATAGGACCTTATGTTCCTTTAGAAAATAAACATTTTGAAACATTATTCATATTCAGGATTAAGTGACCAGGATTCTGAAAATAGCAGTGTTGTGGCTACAGTTAACGATGTGCATAGTGCATCAGGAGGCACAAAGAAATAACATTAACATGATAGATTAAAGAGAAAATCAGTAGGAGCTATGAGGACAATTCAAACCTATGCTCTAGGTACTCCCAGTGGTGTAGTGGTCTAAGGTGCCAAGACCATAGGTTCGAATCCTCCTTATTTTCTCATATCAAGAGACACTGCTTTGTCAAGTACCATTGGCAACTGACAAGTGTGTGGTACTCTGCTATGAACCAGAACATGGTAATCAGAACTGTTTATTGGTTCCTGGTGGTGAATAAAAATAATTATATATAACATGTCAATCTAGTGTAATAACAGCAAAAACAATATGCTTTATTGTCCAAAGAATTGTGCCCATATTCCTTTAATCCTGTCCATCTGGTGGTCATCGAGATTCAACATTGGCTGAACAAATCCACAAGGGCCATGAAGAGGATTCGAACCTGCGTCCAGGAGCATCCCAGACACTGCCTTAATCGACTGAGCTACGACAGGGTTAAAAGGGTTGAAACCGATGATGGTTCATTTAATGCATCACATTAGTGTGATCTCTGTGTGTTCAACATTGGCTGTTTCTTATTTCTAGTAAATTTAAATCAGTAGAGTTTTGTTGGGTTCCCAGCCATATTGGTGTTTTTTTCATTGAGAGTGCGGATGCTGCCGCTAAGGAAGCTATTCGTTCTTATCCCATCTCCCGTAAAGGATGTTCCTTATTCCGACTTTTATCCTGTTATTCATTCCTCCATCTTTGCCTGTTGGCAGGGTTGTTGGTTCTCTGTGGTTAGTAACAGGCTGCGTACTCTCAAACGTAGTGTGTCCCCGTGGCCTTCCTCCTACCACCGTAACCGGCGGTGGGAAACTGCTTTGGCGCGGCTGCGGGTTGGCCATACTTGCTTAACCCACGGTCACTTAATGGAGCGCCGCCCTGCTCCTTATTGTCCGAATTGCGTTGTCCCTCTTACAGTTGTGCATATCCTTGTGAATGTCCTGACTTCCAGGACTAGCGTGTGTCTTGCTTTCCGACCGTCCCTTGCGGTCACTTGTCCCTCGATAGAATTCTAGGTGAATCGGATACTTTTGATGTCATTCGCCTTATGCGTTTTTGTTCTCGTATTGGCATTCTTGGTGATATTTAGCGCCCTCTGATTATTTCGCACTTTGATGGTGCTACATAGCCTTCCCGGTTTGGTGCCTTCTTTTGATAATTACCTTACCTTGTGCCCATATTATTGATAAAAATATATCTGTGCATACCTATGTTATTCATTCTGCGATATAAGTAATATTACTTTAATGCAACAGGGTAATACATTTATCACACGTTGATTTCAGATAGTCTGGTTTTTATACTCATGATGGTAATAAGGCTATAATAGCTCTGAATAGATGTAGTGAAGCTTGGCTTAGACCCATGAAAAATATCCTGCTATTGTTTCATGATTCCATTATTATGCCAATGTGGCAAACCTTATACAGTAGTATAAAACTCCATTATAATTGTGATTTGACGAGTGATTTTGTTCATGTGGTTTTCACAACTCTGTATGTAATGAAATATACCATAAGAATATAGGTTCTGCAGAAGACCTATTGGCCCATAAGAGGCAGCTATTTACACCTAACATAAGAATAAAGACACTTCTGTACTTAGTATTTCAATAAATTATATACCTAATTATTATCTTTATAATTTACTGGAGTTATGGGTTTTGAGGAGTCTTGCATGGTAATAATAATGTTAATAATAATGTTACAGAAACAGAGACTAGTGCGATGGTTGGTGAATCGACAGGATAGTGGTGGTTTACAAGGCCGACCCAATAAGCCTCCTGACACATGTTACACCTTCTGGATTGGGGCATCGTTGAAGGTCGGTAAAAAAAAAATCATAATTACTATAGTCAAGGTATATTAGTAAATGTGATTTAGAAACACACACATTTAAAGTGTACTTTATTATTCAGCAGAGAATTTTATTTCCAGAACTTTGTTTACACTTGCACCATTGATTTCAGTGACTCTCTTAGCTTACAGTTTAAAAACAATGTTTGCACAGGATATGAGTACAGTATTGGCTGTTTAGGTTCAGAAAACCCATTATATTTTTATAAACAAATTGTCTGTCGTATATGATTAAGATTACACCACAAATTGAACAGACTGCACTTATCTGGATCTAAGACAGACATTCAATGAAGTCCCACACAAATTTTGCTATGGAAGTTGGAACAGAGTTGTAATGAATGGAGATAATAAAAATTTAAGATAAAAATATGACAGTAGTGATTAGCAGAAACAAATTCTACTATGGGAATGTCGCTAGAAGGGCCCTCACAGGACTCTGTACTAGCACCGGTGATGTTTATTGTAATGTATATATAAATAAGCTACCTGTAGGGATACAGCACTATCGAAGGTCTTTACATAGCTTTACTGAGAAAGACCTAAATGACTGCCACACCCTTAAAAATGACTTTGGAAAATATACATTGCTAGTAGAATTTAATGACATCCCATTGTGGGAAATTTAAGTGAAAACAGGTCACTTTTAGCTTACAAATTATGCAAAAAGTTACTACAGCTCTCAAAATAACATTGGCAAAATAGAAAAGGTTCAGAAACATGACACTAAATGACTCCCAGACCAGTAAAATTGTTATGAGGAAAGGTTGGATTCCCGAATACGAAAAATAGGTGGTATGATCAATGTACAAAATTCTGGTTACAACTTTTCATATTTATTATTGTCACAAATACCATAATTTAAGATGACCAAACCACAATCCAGAAGATGGAAAAACGACTTTTCGGTCCGTCCTGGACCATTATCATGTCGTATGTGATGGGAGATGTGTGATTGATGAAGGTTAAGCCACCACAAGAGGTGGCATAGGCCTGTAGATGTTTGGAGTGAATGTGATCTTTGGCCATGTAACATTTTGAAGTGTCTGGTTGTTGTTGTTGTTTAAGATTCGCTACTCAGAACGATAAGTTCCAGTAGCACGGGCTATGGTGAGCCCGTAAGTGGAGGCTCTTTGGAGCCATTACCTGTATCAGTGGCTGATACTAGAGATGTGGCGATGGATAGGGGTCTTCATGATGGTTTTCAGCCTGGAGGGCTGGCTATACCAGTTATGGAGCTGGTGGGGTTAGTGTAGACCTCTAGGTTTTCCGTTTTTTCTTTGCCTGCGACTTTGGCTGAGCAGTGCTGTCGTTAGAGTTTGGTGATGTGGCCTCCATGAGGAAGTCTTGAACCGTGTAAGTGTCGTATTTGTGATGCAGCGGTGGAGCTCCTACTATGATTTCCTCGTCTGAGGAGTCCGCAACCTCCATAGTGGGCGTTTTTGTCTTTCGCCTCGCAGCCTTAGGTAGGTTTAGGTGTCGTTGATTGGTGGTTGTAGCTATTTCAGGAGCACTGGTGGTGCTGTTATCGTTTGTAGACAGCACGTCTGCTAGTGCGGCTGCTGAGATAGTGATGGTAGGAGTGTTGGGAGCTGGAGAAGGAATTACCTCTGTGTCGCCCGGGTCATGGGCGGTTCTGGAGTCGGTGTTGAAGTTGACCACTTGGTCGTCCTGGTGGTAGTCTCCGGAGTGGTAGAGGAGGCAGTGAGATTTACGCTAGTGGCTATGATGGGGGCCAGGCCATTGTCTATGTACAGTATAATGCGTTTAGTTCACTGACAAAGCGCTGGTTGTCTGGTCCTGCAAGCCTTTAAGAAGACCAGGGATAATGCCTGCACGTGATGCAGGGGGCTGTGGGACCTTGGGTCCACAATGAGAAGGCTGTGTCGCCTGCTGGGAGGAGCCACCTGTTGGTAAGACCGGAAAGTCTTCTGGTTGACTAGTGATAGCTAAGGTGGTGAGTTGAACGCTTGGGGCTCTGGTCGAGGAGGTAGACGAGTTGTTTCTTTTGGCTTCAACCTGGGTCTTGATGATTTCCTGTCTGCGGGGGCAGCGGTAGGAAATTGCAGGGTGATTGCCATCACAGAGCAAGCAGTGATGGACTGTTGCCTTGCATATGGAGTAGTGATGGTCCAGTGCGCACAGGCTGCACCTCTGAACAGGGTGCTGACACTTGTTGGTCGGGTGGGAGAGCTCGTAGCACTTAAAGCACTGCTGGATCTCATGGTATCGTTCCTTTTTTATTTGGTGGGGTGGTATTTTTAGGCCGAAGCAGTAGAATCCTTGTGTGGCAGCTTGGGTGGCCGCAGCTATGGTGGTGAACGTAATCTCCATTGATGTTTTGTCGGTGTTGCAGAACTCTAGGTTGAATACCGACAGGTTTGGATTTTCGTCCTCGATATTGTTTATGATATGATGTTGAGGTCGCTCAGCGATCCACCGGCTAGTCCTGCTGGTAAAAAAAGTTCTTCCGGCCAGGAACTGACGTGGGAAGTGAGGATGTAGGTAGTGCTCTTTGCAAAGAAAGGCATCGTTAGTGAGGAATTTTTCTAGCTCCTCTTCACATGAAAAGTAGAGCACGATATCTTCACCTTCCTGACTAATCTCAGTGGGTTTGAGGCCAGTTACGTTTTTCAGGACCTTTAAAGTATTGCTTCTTCCGATAGCATGACCGTCAATTGGAGTAGCTCTGACCTTAAGACGCTTGGGTTGCATTGTGACCACACTGCGCCTTGTGATGTGTTGGCGGGAGATGTCTCTCCCGTCCTGTGAATGAACGTTCTGCTTTGTAAGTGTGTCTGGATGGAATGGGCAATAAATAAGGAGAGTGAGGTGAGGAGCAGGTAAGAGTAAGGCAAAAGGTAAGAAAGGGATGAAAGGTACAAATGGGATAAGGTAAGAATAATAGGAGGACAAAAAAAATGGGGGGGGGAGAGATAGAATTAAGTCAGGTCACGTTTGTTAGGAAGGTTAAAGCATTTAAGTATGTACTGGAAAGATTCATGAACCATAGTCCTGCTGTATTGCTGTTAACTCTTCCCTTTCCCAGTACTGGACATGCTTAATTGATCTAACCTTCCTAACAAACATAACCCGACTTAAGCCTACCCCCTCCTCTTGTTCTTACCTTATCCCAGTCTTCATTCCTTCCATTATTACACTCATCTCATTTGTACCTTTCATCCTTTTCTCATCTTTTGCCTTACTCTTACCTTCTTTTAAGAATGACCTTCTCTTTGCCTGCTCCTCACCTCAATCTTTCCGTATTTATTGCCCATCCCTTCCTCTTCCATGTTGGAATCCCATTAAATGAGAAAGTCGATGGAACTGTTCAATTGGCAACTCATCATCCAGTGATCCACAAAACATTCTATCCCAGCTTAGAGTACATAAAAATCACTGTCATCAAAAGACTTGCACACCTCAACAAAGCCCATCTACAACATAGAGTAACAGAAGATTCTCCCTCATCAATATGGTATCTTCAGGTCACCAAGTTAAACAGGTTAAATATCCCAAAAGGAATCCACAGAGAAATAGCAGTTCGGTTATACAAACTACGTCTAGGATACAGATGCAACTGGGAAATTGGTGAACCCAGACAGGGGTTATCTTGAGGTTATCTTGAGATGATTTCGGGGCTTTTTAGTGTCCCCGCGGCCCGGTCCTCGACCAGGCCTCCACCCCCAGGAAGCAGCCCGTGACAGCTGACTAACACCCAGGTACCTATTTTACTGCTAGGTAACAGGGGCATAGGGAGCTCCCATTTAAAATGGGAGCCTCGTAGCCTGGTGGATAGCGCGCAGGACTCGTAATTCTGTGGCGCGGGTTCGATTCCCGCACGAGGCAGAAATAAATGGGCAAAGTTTCTTTCACCCTGAATGCCCCTGTTACCTAGCAGTAAATAGGTACCTGGGAGTTAGTCAGCTGTCACGGGCTGCAGGCCTGTTCGAGGACCGGGCCGCGGGGACACTAAAGCCCCGAAATCATCTCAAGATAACCTCAAGATAGGGTGAAAGAAACTCTGCCCATTGTTTCTCGCCGGCGCCTGGGATCGAGCCCAGGACCACAGGATCACAAGTCCAGCGTGCTGTCCGCTCGGCCGACCGGCTCCCTAATGTGCAAGGATGTGCAAGAAGTCTGCCACTTCTGGCGCATCTTCATCACCTTCCATCCATTTTCCATGGGGAATCCATTTTCTGCCAATCAAAGAAAACCCACTATGTACTACACTTTCTCCTGGAATGTCAAGCAACCAACGACTTTAAAAGAGCTTTAAGAGTCCCTGAATCTTGCAGTAACCACCCTGAAGCTATCAACACTGCCACTCTTCTGGTCAAAAAAAGTGTCTAGCAGCTGGACACCTTCATAAACACTGTCAAGCTGTATACTTGCACTCCAAACAAAATTCTACCACTTAAAGGCTGTTCATGCTTGTGCCACTCCTTGGGGTGGCTTAATCTTCATCAATCAATCTCTCCCATTACATGCTATTCATGCCCATGCCACCTCTTGGATGTCTTAATCTTTATCAATCTCTCTCTCTCTCCTGTCACATGTGACTTGATAATGGTCCAGGATGGAAAGAAACATCGTCATTTCTTCTGATGTGTGGTTTGGTCATCATATCTTCAGCCACATTGTGACTCATTGTCTGCACTGTAATTTAATTATTTTCTCTTGTAGTTACTAGGTGGTCTCAATTTGTTGAACCTGGAAGCACTTCGACAATTTGTGCTGTCAACTCAAGATCCCATCACTGGAGGCCTAGCAAAATACCCCGACTCCCACCCAGATGGTTTGCACACTTACCTAGGAATCAGTGGTCTTTCCCTCCTGGAACAAGACAATCTTAGACCAATAGATCCAGCCTTGAACATCAGCCAGCGTGCCCTCAAACATCTCCAGACACTGCACAAATCTACTAGCAACTCCCAGTCAGGGGATTGCTTATGAGCCACACTCATTATAAAGAGCCTTATGTGGTAAAAAAACTAAGCTATCACATGAGGAATGTTATACGATATATATAAATTCCAGATTTATACACATTATAGATTAATCATATTTTATGCACATAGCCAATAATATGAAAATGTTATATGTATATATTTATATAAATGCTGTATATAAAAGTATAGGATCAGAAACCAAGCCTGTATTTTCAATTTTTTTTTGTATTTTTTTTTTTTTGTATTTAATTTAAAACCCAGTCTCAAGTTTAAGTTCTCACAACTGTTGGAGGCAATTGTCTATCTTAATATGCAAGTATATTTGCAGGCACAATATAATACAGTACATAAAAAATGAAGGCTAAGAAAATTCAGATGACCACTTTAAATACCATTTGTTTGCATTTAGTCTAGTTGTTATAGGTCACAAAGAAACTCAAAATTCATCAAAAATATTGGTCTGCCTTCTCTGGTTTGGGGGCAAGTTAAAATACAGTGAGCACATCAGTGTTTGTCAAATGCTGGAAATTTTTGAGAGGTTTTCAACGACAGTAGTAGTCTTGGTTGCTTCTCATTGCAATGTAAGAAGCAGAGTAGCCTTACACATTCTGAGGAGACACTGAAAGGCCTCATAAATATTGTTTATTACAGGTACTTACTTAGTGCAGTACATAGCAATCAGTTTGGTACAATTGGCATTGACAATATGATTTCAGCCACTTATCTTTGATTTTTTTTACCGGTTTTGTTCTGTCTAAAGTCCAACTTTCTTGTTGGGTGCCTGATCAGTTGAATTTGCGGTCCACATACCCCATCACAACACATTACTAGCAGAACAAATTTTTGAATATCATATAGTGTTCTCAATTTGTGTTGATGGTACCCCACTATTATTATTTTTTATCTACACTACCAACCATATCTCACTAGTAAATATGGTTTTATTGTGTAAATTAAGGAATACTGTTCCAATGTTTTACATACAAGTATACAGATTGTTATTTCATCTATACTCCAGCAAACACATTCTAATTTTATAGAATAGTGGGAAAGCAAAATTTGATTATCCTGAAAACTGGGACATTCTACTTTTTTTTTTTTTTTTTTGAGATATATACAAGAGTTGTTACATTTTTTTACAGCCACTAGTACGCGTAGCGTTTCGGGCAGGTCCCTGGAATACGATCCCCACCGCGAAGAATCGTTGTTACAACCAAGTACATATTTTACTGTTGTGTTAAACAGAGGCTACAGTTAAGGATTTGCGCCCAGTAAAATGTGTACTTGGTTGTAACAACGATTCTTCACGGTGGGGATCGTATTCCAGGGACCTGCCCGAAACGCTACTAGATGACCGAGGAGCAGTGCAATTGCAACATGTGCAGGTGTCTTCCGTTAGGTACCCATGAGTTGGTGTGTGGTCAGTAACTCTTGTACTAACCTAGTAACAAGGGAAGAAAACCAACAATTCATGTTCGATCTTAAATTTGATACTTTATTGGCTGACATCATTGTTGGTTAAAGTGGCCTTTCAGATTTGTATTAGGCAGTTGCATACTGTAGTTCTCATAATTTTAGAGAAATGCTTTATACTGTTACAGAAATAAGACCTACAAATTGACCAAAAAGTAAGCACAGTATTATAATTTTGTTGTATTTTTTCAGTCAGCAGGTGGTTTCTCTTGCAGTCTGCTTCATAAACTGTTCATAATGTTACCATTCATAGATTTATCTTTAATATCCTATTGTATAAATAATGCATTTGTAATAAGTCATAATTAATCTCCCTCTGACACTCAGGTATTTGGGAAGTAATGTGTGTGAATAATGGGGACATGTACAGCACATACCCAGCAAACGCCTTTGTCAAGTTTGAAATTTATAATACAGATATAATTACAATACATGGTCAAATAAATTCTATGTTTGCTTTATTAATAATTTTTTTAATAGAATTAGGATAATAAACATTGTACAGTATATTTTCATTAATTTTTCAATGCATTGTACTTTTTAATTCATAGTAGCAGTCTAAATTATTCTACTTGCTGAAAGGGTATTGTACTTTCATAAAAGAAAAGAAAACCAAGTTGTTTTAATTATTTTGTCTGTCGCATCTGATCAAGGTTGATGTTGGGTTTACTTCTAGTAGTAAATATGAAATGAAAATAGTCTTGTGTGGAATACATGAAAGCTAACTTTCAACACACACCCTGCATTCCTAAAACATGCAATGACCTGATATAGTACGTTTCATTAAATTCCTTGCCGTAACTATTGGTACGGTAAAGCTGGTGGCAGTCATCGAAAATCTAGTACTGTACTGTACTTCCATGGTTGAAATACTTTATATTCTAGTTTATGGGTATCTATACATAAATTTATTTAAGCAGCCTTATATCATACCAGGCCCCTCTAAAGTCACCTCTTGTCATGGTGAAAGGGTTTACGTATGGCTTCTTGGGGACCAGTAGGAGTTGCAGCCCATCGCCTGGCAGCTTAGTCCTGCATTGGGGGACCCCAATCTGGAAAAACTCTTGACACCACCTGGAGATGCAATATTTTATCTCTACTACATTCTTTTGGCCTTAGTGGCAATCTACCACATTTCCTTCAGAGCTTCCTCTCATTTGTTTAAAGCTTCTCCACTTCCTTTTTTCAACAGTATAGTGTTACCCAAGGGACCAGCTCCAATTTGGGATTGATGATAATGTCCTGGGACACCAATCATGGCTTCATGTTCACGTCTCCGTGGTGTAGTGGTAAGGCCCTCGCTTGGCGTTCCGCGAGCGCTTTTTCTTGGGTTCGTATCCTAGCCGGGGAGGATTTACTGGGCACAAATCCTTAACTGTAGCCTCTGTTTAACTGTACAGTAAAATGGGTACTTGGTTGTAAAAACGATTCTTCGGGGGGGGGGTTATATTCCAGGAAACATAGGATTAAGGACTTGCCCGAAACGCTACGCATACTAGTGCATCCTTGGTGATATTGTCTCAGACCCTGTTGGAATATAACCAGTCTCAATCGGGTCAACCCAAGTGTTGCGTTTCCATGCGTTTCCAAAAGGGTCGCCCATGTTGGAATCGGTGAACGCCCTAGTAATATTGTTGAAAACATCTTAATAACTTATTAAACCAAAGGTTTTTTTATGTCAGAAGAACGGCAGAAACTAGATCTATATATGAAAACTCTTTCAGGACAAAATTTAAAGTAAAACTAGATTATGTAAAACTAGATTAAAGTAAATTTATATTTCTATCTTTCTTGAGACGTATAAAAATCTTACATTTATTAACGATTCTGCGTGAAATAAGCATTGTTCTGAGATGAATATTGCGGATTTCCGGCTCTACGACCGACGAAAAATGCAACTTTTATACAACTACAAATATCTTTAGTTTTACTTTAAATTTTGTCCTGAAAGAGTTTTCATATATAGATCCAGTTTCTGCCGTTCTTCTGACATAAAAAGACCTTTGGTTTAATAAGTTATTAAGATGTTTTCAACAATATTACTAGGGCGTTCACCGATTCCAACATGGGCGACCCTTTTGGAAACGCATGGAAACGCAACACTTGGGTTGACCCGATTGACAGACTGGTTATATTCCAACAGGGTCTGAGACATTTACACTGGCGGGCGGCGTTCTTGCCAACTATATGGCTGTTAAGTTGAAAATTGTAACTGTTAAGAGCATTCTTTTGTGGTTTTAATATTGAACAATTATACATATACGAAACAGACAAATCTGGTGTCCGAAATAGTAAAAATATTAGTGTGCGATGTGATCAGTGTAAGGGGGATATTGGGTGTGCCTCGTATTCCCTACAACAACAAGAAGTTCGAGAGCGATGAGGCCGCCACCTACTAGCTTCAGGATGTCGTCGAATCTAAATCAACAATATACTACCGCCGCTACTTTCTCAGAAACGTAAGTACCTGCCGCTTTACTTCTCTCACCCTGCCTAGCCTGGCCTGGCCTGACCTGGCCTAGCCTTACCTAGCCTAGTCTGACCTGGCCTAGTCTGACCTGACCTGGCCTAGCCTTACCCAACACTAATCACCACACGTGACAGCCCAAACGAATCGCAAATAAGTACACGTAACAAGTCATATGCCCGGACACTCTTTCACCTTGGGGACTGAGTGGTAACTATTGTATAGAAGAGCCGGCTCCCTGAGAGTGGTAAGAGGGCGTGATAAGAGGCTAACGTGTGGTCTTGAAGGAAGTCGATAAAGCAGACAATTTTCAAAAGGAAGGGCAGCATAACGAGCAGACAGGAATGGACAGACAGTCGGTTATCCCATAATGTGTAATACGCCCCGCACAGCATGGGTGGAGTGGGGGGGGGGGGTTGTAGCAGGGCACAGTATGGTGATGGTGCGGGTGAAGTACACACCCACTGAATTCCTGCCATCAATAATTGTTTTCATAACCATTAGAACAATGGCATCCCTCCAGCCACCATCCTTCCACTGACCCCCTCCTCTGGTCCTCCACCTCAGACAATAACCCCCCACACCCCCTCTCCCTTCCAGACATCAGCATGTCAAAATCAGTACCATAGTGTGTTTAAACTATTTAAACTAAGTCATTGTGTATCTCAAGGTATCTTAATTCATTTGAAAGTGTACATGTGCATTCGTTCATATACTCGCCTAATTGTGCTTGCTGGGGTTGAGCTCTGGCTCTTTAGTTCCACCTCTCAACCGTCAATCAACAGGTGTACAGGTTTCTGAGCCTATTGGGCTCTATCATATCTACACTTGAACCTGTGTATGGAGTCAGCCTCCACCACATCACTTACTAATGCATTCCATTAGATATAATCATATATGATTACACATAATCATAATCATTCCATACACATAATCATATATGTGTACGTCAACGTATACATACATGCGTATATATACCTCATATTAAAATACTGATAAACGAATGACCATGAACAAATTAATTTATAATTGTAGCATTATATATAATTTAAATAGACTAATTACTTGTTTATACATTTGAATGGTCCAGACAGGTGGCCAGCCTTGGACATATACACTTCTGGTAGGCACAATGACCTCATGTTAGACCCTTGATAGATTATGTGAGAGAGAGAGAGAGAGCTGGGGCAGGGAGGTGCGTGCCCCAGGGAGATAATCCATGCCCATGCCCCGCCTCGAGGTCAGTTCTCGAGTCACACCAA